TCTGCTTGCTCCGAGGCCGCGGGCAAACAGCGCAAAAGTCAACGCTTCCCAGGTCCCCCATTGATGCCCCCAGCCCTTCTCCTAGTCAGTAGTACAGAATCCCCATTCTCGGCGCCCAACCCCACATCACCCCAGGTCCCCACCTGGGCCTTCCCTCTGGGCCTCTGCTGTGGAATGGCTCAGGGAGATGGATGGGGTTGGAATGAGGGTGTGGAGGATTTCTGGCCTGGATGCACAGGTCAATGATTCTGAGCTGAGGACAGACTGAAAGTATGAGTTGGGCCCTCGCTGTCAACCACTTCATCTGGAGTGGAGGTCTTGGGCTGTCTCTGCCACGGTCCCAGGAGACTGTCTAGCGTTCTGTGCCTGAGACAGATGTGCTCAACGTTGAGGGTGCGCCACTCACAACGTGGGACTCTGCAGGTGTCTGGCTTTGAGGTCATTCACCAGATGTTGCCTGCAGGCTTGTGAGAGCACACTATGAGGCCAAACTTTTTGAAAGGGTCCCTTGGGTGGGGGGCAATGTCAGAGGTGAGCGCGCTCCCCGTTGTGTCCAAACCTGCAGTGAGTTCACGAGGGTGGAGGTGTGTGTGTGTGTGTGTGTGTGTGTGTGTGTGTGTGTGTTGGGGGGCTCATCTAGTTTCCTCAACCTGGGCATACTCTCCCTAAGGCTAGCGGCTCAGTTGGGTCATCCATCCTTCCAGTTCTCTCCCTTCCGGGCAGCTGCTCACATCAGCAGAGGCTAACAGCAAGAGCGGCCTGGGAAGCTGGGCAGAGGCATCCTGCCGGTGTGAGCATGGTTATCTCAGCCCAGGACGTGTTTTGTTTTGTTTTGTTTTGTTTTGTTCTTCTTCCCTCTGTAACACTCTTTACATGAACAACACCAACCCCGGCGGCGTGTGAAAAGAGAGCTTGATGTCTCAGACCTGTGGAGATACCAACTTAGAAAAAACACCACCAGAAGAGGGGAGCCATCCTGAGGTTTGGCCTGGGATGGGTTCCAGGTCGTGATACCTCCTATTCTTAAGAAAAGAAGGTTCGATCCAGATCCAGGCAAGCGCTCGGGTTCCCGAAACCGTTGGCTCTCGTGAGCTCGTCAAGTGGCAGGATTCGGTGGTCCGGCCCCAAACGCGAGAAAGGGTGTTTAGGCCACGGCTTCCCAGAAAACTATGTAGATCTGGATAGGTTATTTCGTTTTGGGGTTTAAAAAAATTTCTGCAAAACCTTCCAAAAAAAATTAAAAGTTCTAGAAGCAGGCGGGCGCGTGGAATCCCGTAGCGCACGGAGCCTTCCCGCCCCTCCCTCAGGCAGGCCAGCGCTCAGGCGTAGCTAGAGTTACCCAACCGGCTGACCCCTGGGAATTTAAGAGAGATGGGGGAAGGGGTTGGTCTTGAGGGCACCCTCACTCTGCCTCTCGAGACTCTTAGCTCCCTACCAAATCTTTTCTCCGGTTCCAGAGAAAGAACTTTCTCGGTAGTTCGCAACCAGGTTGCTATTCTGTACTATTCGGGTCCAAGATCCCTTGAGACGGGCCTGGCGAACTTTCTGGAAGTTGCCCGCCAGATACTGAGGCTCATCACTCCCTCAGGTCTTGGATCCTCAGTTGACTTCTTGAACAGGGCGCATCCTCGACCCTCGCAGGCGGGTGGTCCTGCTATGGGATCCTGCTCACCTAGCCTTCCTCCCGCCCCAGCTGCGGATCCGCCTAGCAAGAGGGGCTGCGGACCGAGACCGACTCCGTGCGCCTAACAGGTGTGCCGTCCGCATTGGCATAGCCCCGACTCCCGAGGCCCAAGGCCTTTTAAAAAGCAGTACAAAATCGGAGGGTAGAGAGCGGAGAGAAAATGAGGAGATGGCTTCATTTTTCATTTAAACGAATTTTCTTTACTCTGAAGAAGAGAGAAAAGTAGAAAACAAAAATAAAATTGAGAGTAACAGAATTTTAGCCGCAAAGGCAGAGCGGAGAGTCCGAACTAGAGAATCCTAGGGCGAAGGACTTCACCATCTGTTCCCGAAAGGGAATAACTACGGAAGGATACAAAATTCGAACCAGCTACCTTCTCCGATGACCGAAGGGGTCCTGGGGCCGTGACGTCAGCACAGGTCGCGGAAGGCCAAGTTGTCGTTGGTCCAGGGCCCCCCCCCCCCGGACTCTGCGGCAACCTTGTGGCCTGGTGGCCCGACCGACTGGCCCGTGCTTCCAGCGTCAGAGAGGATCTGGGGAGGCGCAAAGGCTGCTTTTTACTTTCGTTTAAAAAAACTTACAAGTAAACTTCGTTAATTTCCAACAACGACCGAAAAGAATTCCACCACCACCACAAACGTGAGCGAGATGCGGAGAAATGAAGAAAGGCAAGGGCACAGGGGGCCGAGGAGCAGGGCTGGGGCGCGGGGAGAGGAGAGGCTGCGGCGCGGGGACCCTTTGGGTTTCTTTGGGTTCCTCGCTTAAAAACGCAAATCCTTACAAATCACACTTACCACCCGTGCTGCCCGTGGACTTTGCCAACGAAGGAACTAAGCGTTAAAGGTGGCAGGGGGAGGGAGGGGGAGGAGCAAACCAGCTTTCAACTACCTCGGAGCCCGTTGGACTTGGGAGCACCCCGACCCCGTCAGAAGGAAGCCGGCAGAACCGTCTTGGCAGGTCTGCGGAGAACGCCCTCCCTCCCCCACCCCGGCTCCCGGGTTCCACTCCCTTTCCGACAGCGGTAATTGAATTGTCACCTGCCCCCGTCCCGCCCCGGGCCTCCAGGGCCACTTGGGAAGCTCTGCCTTGCCAAGCGCCCCGGGCCAAGGCGGAGTGGCGCTGCGGAGCCGGCGCCCCCAGAAGTAGAGGGGTTACACACGTCTACGCGGAGAGGCGCACCGGACACGGTAATTAGGAGCAATTCACACGCTCCCGGGCGCACGGAAACTTCTTGTCACGACATTCGCAACGCTCCTCCTCGCGCGCTCCTTCCCTGGCGCCCCCTCCCCTCCCGAAGGCACTCAGCGGAGCGTTCCGAGTTTCGAATCTTTCGGACACTGTAGAATGAGGGGCTCCCCGGGCGCGGGCCCGGCCAATCAGAGCGCCGGCTGCCTCCCCTGGCCAATGGCAGGCGCCACATTGTTGTCCAATTCTGTCTAATGGAGCCCTGAGGAGCAACAATAGAGTGGGCGAGCGGCTCATTGAGAGCTGGCAGCGCCGGGCTACCCAGGCCCGCATTGAGCGCTGCGTCCGGAGCGCACCGAGGGGACGCGGGTTCCAACCAGTCGGCCCCGGGACGGGTCCCCGGCCCCGAGTCCCCTCCGGAGTGTTGCACTGCCGCGTTCCGAGTGTGGGGGGGGGGGTAGTGGTCCGGAAGTTCGGACATGGTGGCTGGAGGAGGGTGACGTGGTCAGAGAAGGGGCCGGGGGCGAGGGGAAGAGGCCGAGAGAGCTGCGGCGCGAGCGGAGCTGGGCGGTGCGTGCGGCGCCAGCGGAGGAGGAGCCCGGAGGCCGAGGCAGGTAGCAGAGGGCTGGCCGCAGAGCGCGGGAGGCGACCCGGCTGGCGGCCCCCGAGGGCGAGGCCTAGGCCCCCAGGGCCTTAGGAACTGCATGCCTGAGGGTCTGGGCGGAGAGGGCCCCCGCGCGCGCTGAGGTCTGGGCTTCCCAGACGAAGACCCCGGTAGTGGGGCCCCGGCTCTGGCGGGGCCCCGGGCGGGGTGGCGGGTAGTGAAGGCCGCAGCGGAAGCCAGGAGCTGGGCCTGCTGGGCCTTCTGCAGCTGCGGCGCAGGTGGGACTCTCCTGTCTCTTCGGGGTCAGTTTCCGAGGCGACTCCCTGGCCTGCTGAGGCCTGCTGGGGAGTACGCGTCCTGAAACCCTAGCCTGAAGATCAAAACTCTGGAACCTGCGCAGGAGCGGGGTCCCAAGGGGTCCCAGGATGAGGAGGGCGTGTCTGAGGACTTGGTCCCCAAACTGGGAGGGGTGGGGGTTGGGTAGGAGGAGTTGAGGGAAAAGGAGGTCTTGCAAAGCCTAACTTTTCGAAGACATGCCTCCCTCCTCGACTACTCCAGACTAAAGGGCTAAACCCTACGCCACAGGTCTCGCCCTATCCCCACCCCACCTGTTTCAGTAGAGTTTTTCCTATTTATCACCGTCGCTCCCCGTGGACTGTGCCCAGATCACCCGTGTCAGCTGTTTGGGGATGTTTTCCTCCCGATTCAAACTAATCTTGGAGCTAGATGGCCTGTCCAAAGATAGTTGTTTTTTTTAATGGATTTTTTCTTTAATCCCCCTCAGCTCTCCTAAACTTCAGTTCCACATCTATTTTTCTCTCCTATCCTTTAGAGGCTCAGACCACGACGTGCCCAGAACTCTTTTTTTTTTTTTTAAATGGGTCCCAAGGCCATAAGCCGAACTTTGCCTCCAATTTTGTCTTATAGTTCTCGCTCAACTCTTATAGGAATAAGTTCTTCGGATCTTCTTCGCTTCAGTTCCTCTGCCCCACATTGAAGGCATAAAACAAGAGCCTAACCCAGCCTGCTCAACCCCGCTCCTCACCTCCACAACTCTCTACCCTTTACCCTTCCGCCAAGACGGAACGGTTTTTGCTCCGTATCTTTTTACTTTGCCTTTGACACCAGCCTGTTGGTGCCAAGTTTTCTCTGTAATCTGAGTCCATTTCAGGTACACATTTCTTCTTTCTCGCCTCATCCCAATCAACCTAAGCGTTGGGCATAAATATTTTCTTTTCAAATCCTCCTTACATTCAGCTGAACCAATGTCTTCCAAACTTTGTCTTTTTCTCCCTTGGAGGATTCAAGGGAATTCTGATTCAAAGAAAATCTTACACCTGGCATGTAAATTGGATGTAAGAGCATCGGTGACAGGAGCTGGGGGTGTGTGTATTGTTTGGGGGGGGTAGTCGTATTTACAAGAAGGTTCCAAATAACCTTCCCAGCAACTTGCCAGATTCTAACCAAACTTGTACAACCAAAGTTTTCCTAAATTTGGGTTTCCGCAGGCCACGCTTAAGTCTGACGTGTTGTACTGTCCTCACTCAGGTGTCCCCACTTTTCCCACGCCAGGTTCAGCCATGGAGCTGCGCTCAGAGCTGCCCAGCGTGCCCAGTGCGGCGACAGCAGCAGCGACAGCGACGGGACCTCCCGTGGCATCAGTGGCGTCGGTGGCCGCGGCAGCGGCCGCCGCAGCATCGCTACCAGTGAGCGTGGCCGGGGGCTTGCTGCGGGCGCCGCCCCTGCTGTTGAGGGCAGCGGAGAAGTACCCGCGGACCCCCAAATGCGCGCGCTGCCGCAACCACGGAGTGGTGTCCGCGCTCAAGGGCCACAAGCGCTACTGCCGCTGGAAGGACTGCCTGTGTGCCAAGTGCACGCTCATCGCCGAGCGCCAGCGCGTCATGGCGGCACAGGTGGCGCTGCGCAGGCAGCAGGCGCAAGAGGAGAACGAGGCGCGCGAGTTGCAACTGCTGTATGGCACTGCCGAGGGCCTGGCGCTGGCCGCCGCCAACGGCATCATCCCACCGCGACCCGCCTATGAAGTCTTTGGTTCAGTGTGCGCCACCGACGGCGGGGGGCCTGGAGCTGGAGCACCCGCCGGGAGTGCTGGGGGCGCAGGGGGCGCAGGGGGCGCAGGTGAGAGCACGGTCGTGCTGTGGGTTGGAAGTGGGGGGGGGATGGGGTCTGGAAGGAGGAGCCCGGGACCCGGAGCTGCTGTGCACGGCCTAGTGGCCTGTTTCCTTAGGGACAGAGTACACAACTCCCTTCCACAGAAGTTGTGGCTAATCACCCACCCAGTTTCTACCCGTCCTTAAAACCCTGTCTGCAGTTGTTACACGTTATTCCTTTCCCTCACCTCCAGCCCCCCAGGCAACGCTTTAGCCTTAGCCTTGCCTGCTAAGGGGCAGGTCCTTAGATACTGCCCAACTCATTTTGCTGGGTCTCCTCCCCGCGGCAGCCGGAAGCCGCAGAGCCCCTCTTGTTTCCTTCCCAACGCTTCTGAAAGGACCCTCTGCGATCCTCTAATCCCTTCGGCTTCCCTAAACTTTGGAAATGCCCTCTTCACTGCTCAGCGAGACTCCTTTCCTCCTGTTCCTAAAGCATTTTGGATAAACATTCGCCGCGCTCCCTAGATTCTGTCTTCTTTCCCCCCAGCGCACGCCGGTTCTCTCGTGGTTGGCACTTTTCCCTGAACCCCTTTCCCTTGCTTCTGTCTCCTGCCAGCATAAACCCACCGCTTTCTGGACCCTAGAAGGTTTTTCTGTGGGGGAGGCAGTTAGGCTCAGACCATGGAATGGGCTCGGTTCTCAGATCGGAAGAAGGGAATTTCTTAGGACTTAATTTTGGAAAGTGTGGACTAGAAACAGGATGGATCTTATTTTGTCTGTAGAGTCCCTCAAGGCGCCCTCTCTTCGAGGCTGCGGTACCTAAGATAGGGCTTTGGCACAGTGAGGCATAGCCAAAGGTTCTCTTTGCTCTGGTTTGAACCTTGGCCAGGCCTCATCTCTAGGGCGGGGTGGAAATGGGAGGGGAGTAGAGGTGTGGGAAGAGTGCACTGAACATTAAGTTTTTAGGGTGGCAGGGGTTCTGGTTACAGGAAAAAAAAAAAACAAACCATGAGCTTAGGAGGAAAGAAAGAGCACGAGCGCTGTGGGGTTTTATAAAAGTAAAACCGCGGCGCTGTAGCCCAGTCGAGGACAGTTTGGAAGCTGGGGATGACAGGAAACTTGCATTCAACAGGCCTGAGCGTGATGGGCCCAGTGTTCTTAACCTCTCCCCACATCTCCGTTTTCCCCTCAGAAGCCAAGCTGCAGAAGTTTGATCTGTTTCCCAAGACGCTGCTTCAGGCCGGCCGCCCCGACAGTCCGCAGCCGCAGCCAGTGAAGCCCTTGTCGCCCGACGGCGCGGACTCGGGTCCCGGGACCTCGTCCCCAGAGGTGCGGCCCGGCTCAGGCTCGGAGAACGGCGACGGCGAGTCCTTTTCGGGGTCGCCTCTGGCCCGGGCCTCCAAGGAGGCCGGAGGCAGCTGTCCTGGTAGCGCGGGCCCCGGCGGTGGCGGCGAGGAGGACAGCCCCGGCTCCTCCAGCCCCCTGGGTTCCGAATCGGGTTCCGAGGCTGACAAAGAAGAGGCGGAGGTCGCACCGACACCGGGGCTGGGCGGCGGCCCCGGTCCGCGGCAGCGGACGCCGCTGGACATCTTGACGCGCGTCTTCCCGGGCCACCGGAGAGGCGTCCTGGAGCTGGTGCTGCAGGGCTGCGGCGGCGACGTGGTGCAGGCCATCGAGCAGGTGCTGAACCACCACCGCGGAGGCTTGGCG